TCAGTCTAGTTCATATTGGCTGACTTCTTTTTTTTCTAAGGGTTTTTAAAAAACTGATTATTTATTTATTTGTTGTTTAATTTTGAGAGAGAGAAAGATAACATGAGCAGGGGAAGGGGCAGAGAAAGAAAGAGAGGGAGAGAGAATCCCAAACAGGCTCCACACTGACAGTGCGGGGCTCGGTCCCACGAACTTCGAGATCATGACCGAGCTGAAATCAAGAGTTGGATGCTCAACTGACTGAGCCACCCAGGTGCCCCTGGCTAACCTCGTTTTCATAAGAAATACAAACAATGACACTGAGGGCTTATTTAAATAAGTTATGATCATTTTGCTTCCTCTAGCTCCTTCATAATCATGAAATTCTATGAAATATCTGACTTCATGTTTTTTTCTTTTCAGTGCCCCGTAGCCCATTGTATTTGTCTGAGTGCAAAGTAGTCAGGATTGGAAGCCTACAATAGGAATTACATGATTTCGTGAGATTTTCCTTTGCTTTGTAAGGAAACAGGTCATAAAGAGTTGGAAGTACAGTATTCCAGTTTGGTGACTGCCCAAATCATATCCTCACCCAACTAAATCCCAAAATGGAAATTTTTATTTTTTTAATATTTATTTAAAAAAATTTTTTAAATGCTTACTCTTGAGAGAGAGAGAAAGATAACACGCGTGGGGGAGGAGCAGAGAGAGGGAGACACAGAATCCGAAGCAGGCTCCAGGCTCTGAGCCATCAGCACAGAGCCTGATGCGGGGCTCGAAACCACGAACCCACAAACTGCAAGATCAAGACCTGAGCCGAAGTCGGACGCTTAACCAACTGAACCTCCCAGGCGCCCCTTTTTAACGTTTGTTTATTTATTTTGAGAGAGAGGGCGGGGTGGAGAGAGAGAGAGAGAGCACACACAAGTAGGGAAGGCACAGAGAGAGAGGGAGAATGAGAATCCCAAGCAGGTTGCACACTGTCACTGCAGAGCCCTGCTGGGCACCATCTCATGAACCGTGAGATCACGACTTGAGTGGAAATCAAGAATAAGACCCTTAACCAACTGAGCCAGCAGGCACCCCTGGGATGGAAGTCTTTTATCCTACTGCCAACATCAATTTTTATCTGAAGTTTGTAAAGACCAGCACAAAATAGTTTGCCATTTAAGGAGTCCCCTACCAGGCACAGTGTGGTGGCAACTGTCTCTCGTCCCTATCATCTCCCTCTATCTGTTGTGACTGTTTGCTTTTCTTTGGATGGCATGTCTTGTGAACTACAAGTACTTTTTTCCTATAAACATAGAGATTGGCAAATCTTAACATTCTTTTTGTCAACACTCACAAACGTTAACACTCTTTTGCTAGGTTTCTACACTGTGCTTGCATGAGATTTTAACATTCAAAATGCAAACAGAATCTTCTAGACTATACCATTAGACAACAGGACTCATATCTGGATTTCAGTTCTGATGCTTAACTTTAAAGTTACTGTAGGCAAATCACTTAATCTTTCAATACCTTGGGTTTTCGTTTCTGAAGAAGGATGACAAGATCATAGAATTTATGCTTGAAACAATCTTTTTTGAATGTCCATATGAAAGGCATAATAAATACTAGGCGATCATATTATTCTTAACCTTTTAGAATTGTAACATCTTCCATTTTTGCAGTCCCCTGACTACCTAAAGTGTACTCAGGAGAGTTACATTTTAAGGAAGTAAGCTAATGAAAGAAAATTTACCACCTTAATATTTTCAAACATTATCCTCGAAGTATATTCACTATTTTGTCAGCATCTTCCTAGTGCTGTCTTTTAAAGGATTTTGGTGAGTGTCTCGAATATCCGTTAAACCCGCATTCAGACATTTTTCCAGAAAAGTACATTTCATCATGCTCTTTCCAAAAAGTCAATAGGAGGGTTCTGGCATCCAATGGCTGTTGAATTCCCTCCAGTTCTCCTACAAATTTCCTTGCAGACTGAGAGAGTGTGTGACCTCAATCTCTCCTTTGTCTGTATTTTTCACTTAGCTCTTTAAATTCTGACACAGGAAGTACTTAGCCTGCATCCAAGACCCCAATTTTTACTCTAAATGGGGACCCGTACCTGTGTTTATACACAGGCTGGTGACTAACAGCTGCTGATTCTTAGACCCTCCACAGACAGTTTATCTCCTCCACATGCAAAAGTCTCTTTAATATTTGAATGCTTTCTGTGCACAGGGGAGGTAGGCTACGGGGAGAGGTCAAACAGAGGGAAAGTATTTCTAAAAAAGTATATTTGCAATTGAAAAACCAGCAGAACTGTCTCCTAAAACGCTATTACTTAGAAAAAAGGCTCTCCTATTACAGAAGGTTCCTGTATGTCATGACTCTCTGTAGTAGGCACAGACGTATTCCCATAAACAAGTATGTTCAAATGCCTATGTATAATTTTTTTAAAGTAGATCAGCCCTGAATAGCACATGTGCCCTTTCAGTCTTAACGGTGGTTTTGCATAAGGAGCTGAGGATGTAATCCACAAAAAATCCACATGACACGCGGCTGCATTTTTTTTTTTTTTTTCTCCTTCAAATATGCCAGGGTCAGAGTTTAAGAAGCTCTAGTATGGTTGCAACATCACGCTATTAATAGAAACTGCACTCTAAAGAATGAAGGCTGTGATTCCACATGTGGATATAGGGTGAAGTGCATGAACTCAGCAGTCTCTAGGAATATCACCTCTTGCGCAGTGCTGCCCTTGCAACCCTCCCCCAGCTGTGTGTCCTCAGGCCAGAGTGCCCTCAGGGTCTTCTGGAAGGAACCTTCTTCTTCTTTTTTTTTTTTTTTTTTACACTGCCCTGTGGGGTGTCAGTACAGGGCCCTGCTGTGTTAACAAGAGCATCATCTCAACTGGGGTAAGCTCCGGGGACCAGATTCAGATTTTAGATGTTTAATGCTCACATGGCGGAAGCCCATGGAAATCTCCGTGCGGGGAGGTCAGATTTGTTCTACCCACTGAGCCATTGCTTAGAACTGCTCCCTCTGGCTTACCTTCCGATCGCTTCCCTTATCCCTGCTCTTTTTGGATGGTATCCTACAGAACGGCTTTCCTTTTGCTCCTAGACTGTGATTTTTATTTAAAAAAGAAAAAAAAAAGGCCTTAGAAATTAGAGCTGAAAAGGACCGTTGCCTCATCTAATCTCGGCAGAAGTGTTCCCCGTGGAATATTTCCTTTCGTTCTTAAGACAAATGGCAGCATTTCGGCGATCTGGTGAAAAGCCAGCCTCAACCCACGGCCCCACCAACACCTGGTGCGGCGTCCACCTGCCTGTCCACCCATGAACGCGTAGGAGGGCCCTGCAGCCAACCTGGTAACCTTGACTCTGCAAGGCAAAGATTATCATAATGCTCTTCTGAGAGGACCAGCAGCCTTAAGCAAGAGGGCAGAGTCTACGTGACTAAAACATACCAACTTCCTCTTTCATAAGTCATCACATGATGAACTACAATTACAATTCCTGCCTTGTCTCTGCGAATTGCAGACGCATTGCCTCACCCTAGAAACCCTGCTTCTGTGTGTGGAGGAGGCGGCCGTAGCTGCTGCGGCAGCCGATTTGGATGGGATCCAACTCCAGTCTGGGCCGGCAGGGAGGGCGGTGGGTGGAGGACAAAAACAAAGCTATGTTTACTTAGCATAGATCGATAAAGCTGCTTCAGAGCTACATGAAAGGCCAGGCAGCATGAAAGACTTTTGATACAATATAAGGAATTGCTGCTCTGGATCCAGGGCCAGCCTTAACCCCCTTGATCCCGGCTCCTTTTATGGCAAAGAGAGACCAGAAGTAAACCAGCCTCTCCATGCTCCGGCAGGCATTTCGTTAGGGAAGTTACAACAACTCTGTTTCAACATTCAACTCACAGTGTAATATAAAAAGGAAATGCCCTTCGTTTGGAGAACACAAGCTCTGCTCTACAAAAATCCTTACTTTGTACCTCTCAAGGCAGCATTTGTATTTCAGGATTTCTATTTTGGGATGGAACGGCAGGCTTTCCCTTGAGGTTATTACAGTACCAGCTTGCAGGTAAATGAGTATAATTAGGCCATGGCTCTAACACAGAGTTGTTTTCTTTTAATGTTTCAGTCGCTGCCTAGTGGGGCCATCTCTTGGGGGTGTTCAGATGGCCAGTCTCTCTGTAGCACAAAGACTGGAAGTGTTCCACATCAAAGTCACGCGCTACAATCAGCGGCACAGGGACTGCATGGAGAGTGACCAGAGGGACACGTCCTCAAAGAGGTTCGAGACAGCAGGTACTAGGGGTGACGAAGCCCACTGGCACCAGCTGCTCCAGGGAAGGATCTGGGCAGGCCCTATTCTCCCGGCTAGAAGAGGGTGAGGCAGGATTGCAATTGCAAGCAAGATCCGGGAACAGATGGGGAGACCTTTATGGCAAGCACACCTTCTCTGGAAATCCCCAAGAGAAGACATGCAGGGTTGGCCTGTAAAAACACTTAGATCTGGCATTGCGCTTTCTGTGCCACTTTCCAACAGGTTTTTTCATGTGCTTTAAGCAGCTCCCTCCACCGTTTCTCTAAGGGTGTTTTTCCTCTTTGAAGCAACCTGGCATTTTCAATAGCAACAACTAGAGAGAAACGTCAGCAGGATTTTTTCTCTCTCCACCTACCAATCCAGTTGTAGGAAAGATAATATAATTAGTACCCTGTTCTTCCCACACTTAACCAGCCCATTCCAGTCTCACGCAGAGATGTGGGCCTGTTTTCCAACAAAAGAAGCTCCAAGGGCCGCCCTTCCAGAGTTGAAGTGTCTAGGTCCCAACTGAGGGTGACTAAGCCCGCGTCTATTAGTCAGTAAGACTAACGACCAGCCAAAAGTGATTTACCCGTAACACACACCAGCTCCTCCTCCCGATACAAGTGTGAAACTCAAGTGCTCACTTCAGTCTGGGCAGAGGCTGTGGCCGCCAACAGTGGCTGGGCGGGCAGGCTCTGCGGCCGCACCCGGCTTTCGCGCGAGGCGGGTATGCACCCGGCCAGGGACTGCCCTGGCCTGGGCCGCGCCGTAGGTCCCGCCCCTCTACGGCGCCGGGGACTTCCGCCCACGGCCCGGACCCGCGCGACAGC